TAAGTGTACATAAGACATAACTCTTAAAAAAAATATCAGAGTATAGATGACATTTTCACTGAATATTTATATTAGCAATTATTTCTATGCACCATAACATTTTTGAAATATTGCATCTCTTTTTGAGCTATTTATAGGCATAGGAAAATTTTGAGTTTTAGGCACTATTGTCGATACAACATTTTTCGGTAAGTAATAGTAAAAAGTTGAGGATAAATCCACAATAATTATTTATGTGCATCTAAAGAGTAAAGTTATAATTTTGACAAAATATTCATCAAAATTACGAAAGTAAAATTATTTCGAGTTAGAAATGTATAAAAAATTTTCCATTTTTACCTTAGCTTTGAAAAAATAATATAAGATTTAACAACAAAAAAGTTTACCTGTAAGCAGGGCTTTACACCCGAACGTAACCCGAAACCCGAAACCCGAAACCCGAATTAGCCCAAATATATATCATAACCCAAAACCCGTATATACAAAACCGATTGAAAAAATACCGGAAATAACCCGAAACCCGAAGTATTGAAAATTAAGTGGCATATCAATTTGTATGTATTATTTCAACTAACGAGACTAAGAAGATAAGAAGATAGTAGTGCAAGTGTGTAACGGATAACTCGATTTTTTTTTCGTAACTAACAATAATTAATTAAAAATTAAAAAATACCTTGATCCTGGATGATTGTTTTATTTTATTTCACAATATTCAATAATAGACAATAGTATTGATTCTTAATCCAAAATTAATACAACGAAAATATGTTGAGTTAAAAATTAAAATATGTATTAAGAGAGAACTTTCTTCGGTAGAAAAAGGACTGAGTAAGTACTAAGTAATAAGTAATAAACTAATAACTAATAAATATTAATATTTAATTTAATTTTTAATTTTTAAATTGTTTTCATTAGGTTTACTTTAAATACAACACCAGATAACTATAAATTAATAATTAAATTTGCATTAAAAATCTCATGTTAATTGATATACAACATGTGTTTTTTTAACACCCGAATTAACCATAATTAACCCGAATAAATTTGCATTTAACCATAACCAGAAAAGTGTATTAACCCGTAACACCCGAATTCAATAACCCGAATTTTTTTTCAACACCCAAAACTCAAAAAAATGATTCCGGTGCAAAGCCCTGCCTGTAAGTCAAATTGATTTTTTACTAGCTTGAAGCTAGACATTGGATTTCACCCGTAAATTAATAAATACTCATACAACATTTTTTTTTATTACGATACCTCTACTCCTATTTTTAAATTCGAAAACTAATAACTGTAAGAACTTAAAATATTCATATAAAATGTTTATTTTATACATGATAAATTTTTTTTATTCTATAAATGTAAATACAAATTTATTCCGTAGGCAAAAGCTCGAAAAATTATATCAAAGTTCCTTATAAGTTGATATAATAAGAGTTGAAAAATATTAAAAATACATATGCACGATTTTTTTTATAGTCATTTAAAATTCATTTGCTTATGTATTTTAAATATTTTTAACTGCTATTGTAACAATATATCAGGAACCTTGCATTAAAATTTCAAGCTTTTTTTTTACTCAACAAATAAAATTTTATTGATATTTATAGAAAAAAAAACTAAAAAAAATTGAAAACCGACAATGTCCGTAAACACCCCATTGTCAAAATATTTTCAAAATTGTATGGTGTATAAAAAATGAAAATACCTATGTTCATTCAGTAAAATTGTCATGTATCTACAGTTATTTGTTTTTGAATAACAATAATAGGTATAACAAAACCGCTACGTGAGAAATCGAGTGAATATCCAATATTGTAAAAATATTAATTTCAAACGTTCATAAAAATTTAATTTGATTTTATTGTAGACATTTTTTTTTTTTTTTTTTGATAAAGGTAGATAAACTTATGAGGAATTATTTATTACATTTTCAAATCTTAGATTTAAAAAGGAAAATTTTTATGAATTCTCAACTTAAAATAATTTGCTAATTTTCGTGATTTTTCAGTATTTTGTCAAGATTTACGTCGTGTCCAACGTAAATTCGTTCGATGGGTCGAAAAACAAAACAGCTTGTACATATTTCTCCGCATCGGACGCATCGGACGCAATTTGAACAGCACGGTCAGAATAGAAATCGCACGCACTCGCCGGATTTACGTTAAATGCTTATAAATAAAAACAAAAAAATAAGTATTTTTTAATAATATTTTTCAAATGGCATTATAACAATATAGTATAGGAGCCTTGTATTAAATGTTTAAGCTTTCTTACCCAACAAATAAAGTTTTATTCACATTCATAGAAAAAAAGAGTAATAAAATTTGAAACAGAACATGTTCCTAAACAGTTCAAAACAAATCGAAATATTTTGAAAATTTTATCGTGTATAGAAAATGTTAATATAGTACCAAAATTATTGTATTCACAATAAATTTCATAACTTCATCAATTTTTAATACTATAGATATTTAATACAGATATTCGGCACTGGACAACGCGTACATCACTGGACATCAATTGCAAATTAAATATTGTAAATTCTTCAAAATTACCTAAATTAGTGCTCTAAAATTTTAAATAAACTATTTGTGGTGAACTAAATTTAATATATTGGTGATGATAAATTGTATTGTTACAGTTATTCAATAGGTAACTATAGGAAATTATTAGTTGCCTTTAATTCTACATTATGGAATATACAACAAAAAATATAACAAGCAGTGTGCGCAGTACAGAATAGGTATAATTTTTATAATACTTTTTGGAAAAAGTATTTAAAATACATATCAAAATACCTCTAAGTAGTAATTAATCAACAATAATATTGTACATAATTGTTTCATATAGAGTTTGAGGAATTTTTGAAAGTGAATAATGTTTTTAGATTATTACCTAGTAAAAATGTATAAAACAAATTTATAATTACCTCACTGTAATAATATGAATGGGTGATTATCATTTGCACATTTTATTATAAATAAAATAAATAATAACAAGAACTGATATTATAATCGATAATGTAAATCAGGAAACAAAACAAATAAAATGAACTATCAGCAAATAAGTCAAGTATTCAATACAGAAAAAAAGTATTTAAAATACCACAAAAATACTTGATACCTATTGAAAGTATTTCAAAAAGTATTGAATATTCAAAAAAGTATACACTTTACATGACTACTATTCTGTACTACAATAATTAACAATTAACATTTTAAGCAAAATGTGACAAACATATTATTAAGCTAAAAACTAAAATTAAAAGACATATTTTTCCAACCTTAATTCAAATCTTAATTTTTCTTCACTTAAATAATTGACTTGGCAGATAGCAAGTTTTCTTAACAACACCTTTTACTATTTTTAACTTAACCCCTTCCCCCACTCTGTTATTATACTTATTAGTTATTACTAACTCATACTGACAGATATTGTAACATAAATAATAGTTATAATTGTGTCAAGAGTATGTGAAAATATATAGATATTAATATATTATTATGTAATTTAATAAATAGAGCACGGATGTTAAATAGTGAAATATAATATAATAGGTACTTAAAAAAATTAACTTAAAACCCTTTTCTTAAAAACTTACCCTGGTATAAGAAATAAAAAAAAACTATATTTAGACATCCGACTTTCCACAGATAAATAAAATTTTAAATAGCTTCATTAAAAAAGACCTTTGAAAATCTATAATTTTTTTTTTAATAATTTATAAAGACATCTCTATTGCTTTCACACCAACTGATTTCATTGGTACAACATACTTAAAATTAACAATATCATACTTTATCTGATAAATATGCTACTTAACTTAGAAATAATCATTATATGCTCAAATATGTAAAATGTTTTCAGATTTGAAATCTATACTATGTCCAGCATCTGGGCGGTGACCAATACTCGTCTATTGCTGAGCATTCCACCACTTTACCAGAACAAATGCCGATAGTGATATTTATATAAAAGTACCTAGTGATGGAAGAATTTAGTCCTCGAGATGGCGGAGAAATTTGAGTGTTTTTTTTTTTGTCAGGCTTTTTTAAAAAATGCCACTCACAAAAACCTAGACATTTTAGTTAATTTCTGGTTTTTTTTTTTTTGTTTTTGTTCACTGTAATCTAGAGCTAAAAATAATTTTTCTCCTTTTTATCATATTTTATATTAATAAACACACTCGTACTTGTTCGCTTATCTACTAATCAACCAAATTCATAAATTTTATTCCAGTCTTTTTTAAAAAAATTTTAATTAATTTCCAGAAAATCTGTTAGAAGTATAATAGAGAAGTTTAAATGTTTTCCAAAAGGCTGTTTTTTATCTTTATAGATGGCATTTTTTTATGTATTAAGTATAAAAATTAAATTATATTATAGAAAAATTATTTTGATCATTTATGTCGTACTTTTTTTTGATAATTTTAATATTCCTAAGTGCTTATAATGAAGTATTGAAGTATTAGGTGTTATTTAATTTGTTGATTTCATAATTATAATTGCTATAAGTCCCAAACCCGATTATGACAAATCTAAATTTAAAAAAAAAATGTATTTTTATTCACTGAGCAATGAGATTATCTATTAGATGACCATTTTGGGTAACCTCTAATTATTGTTGCTTTGGAAAATAAAAATGACTCAAAATGTTCAAGCTTGCATTACATGATTTCACTCCTTTACTATCTCATTCAATATGATAGATTTTAACTGATTTCTTAAATTGAAAATATAATTTTTATCAATAATAATCTTTTTAAATGCCAGTGAAAAGATTTTTATTCCGTAATAGTTTTAATAATGAAAAATGAATAATGTGTTACATTGCAAATTATAATTATGAAAAATTTACTTTAGGAATATAATTAGTAAATATCATATAAGTTCTAAAAATTAAAATACAAAATCTCCTTCTTTAGTGAATATTTAATTATAATAAAATAAAAGTTGAAATGTTGAAAAAGTTCCAATGCTAATTTCTTTTCCGTGTCTTCATATCAAATCAGCAACTGAAAAATATAAACAATATTTTATTATAAACTTTATACTATATTAGTTATTCAAGAAAATTATGTTAATATGTATACTTAAATAATTAATATGGTTTTTATAAAAATAAAAACTAATGGTACCTTCAAATAAGTTATGTATTTAAAATAATAAACTTTAACCCTCTCACTGCTACACTATTTATGCACTGCCACCTGTGGATGCTACGTATAAATATGATTTATGTTTTTAAGTTAAAAATAATGCGTGATAAAGTTTCCTTAAGTTGTAAGGTTACCGACAAATGAGAATATTATAAAATTCAGGAACATAATAGTACGTGAAAGGGTTAAAGGTTAATTTCATTAGATTTTACATTAATATTAGAGCATATGTCATAATGTATAATACAACAACTATTAGTAAGCTTTACCATTCATGGGCATTTCATCAATTTGTGTGGAGTAATATTGTTCAATATCACGTAAGATCCTTATGTCATCACTTTTAACAAAATTTATTGCAACACCTTTGCGCCCAAATCTTCCAGAACGGCCAATCCTAAAAATAAAATTATTGTTATTTCATTTCTTAATAAATTAGATTTAATAGTATACATATACAACAATTGAATTCATATTAAAATTGAGGGAGGGAATACACTGGAAAATAGATTTTAAGTATTAATTGTATTTTAGATTTTAGTTCACAAAGAAAATAAATTACCTGTGTATATACAATTCACGGTTGTTTGGCAAATCATAATTTATAACCAAAGAAACCTGTTGTACGTCAATTCCGCGAGCCCAAATATCGGTTGTAATCAAAACTCTCCTGCATACATATTAATAATAAATGAGAAAAATATGTAACAGCTTCATTGTTATAAATTATCAAGTCAATAAAAATATTCTAAAATATACATGTAACACTTACGTTTGTCCAGCACGAAATTCTTTCATTATAGCATCCCTTTCTTTTTGTGGCATGTCTCCGTGCATCGAACTTACTGTGAAATTTGACTCCCTCATTTTTTCTGTCAACCAGTCCACCTATGCAATTAAATGTTTCAATTGATTATGACTAACATTTTTATCTTATTTTAATGATCAATGACTAACCTTTCTCTTAGTACTGCAGAAAATAACGGCTTGAGTTATAGTAAGTGTATCATACAAGTCACACAATGTGTCGAATTTCCATTCTTCCCGTTCGACAGCTACAAAGAACTGTTTAATTCCCTCAAGTGTCAATTCATCACTATAAAATGTATTAATTAGTTAAAAACTTAAAACAACGCATTTAATATCAAATATTTACAAACCGTTTAACTAAGATTCTTATTGGATCAGTCATAAATTTGTTTGTCATTTCTAATATTTCATGCGGTAAAGTGGCTGATATTAAAATAACCTATATAAAAATATTTAAAATATTTAATTAGTTAGTAATATAATAATAATATATCAGTGGTCACCCAAAATATTACATAACAATTATCAGATACCTGTAGTAAATTATAATTATTAATTATTATGCACATGGTTTGTAATACAAAAAACTATTTATTAAATTCGAGTTGAGAAGTGTCGATTAAATAAATCGCTTACAGCCGTAACAACCATCCAAATCAGTGGCGGCTCGTGCCTAGGTGTACAGGTGTGCGCACACCACATAGATTAATTAGATATAATAGTGAAAATGTAAAATAATAATGAATAATAATTAATTAATTTTAATACAATATCTGTTAAACTGTATTTATTATACAAAACCGCTCTGCACTGGCTTTAATTTGTAAACTCCACCGTTTCCATATTTAAATATATTAGTTATGGCATGTTGTCTGTTGTGACAGTAAATAAATATGCTATACCTAACTAATTGAATATTATTTTCTAAAACTGTATAATCTCAAAATTAAAAATGCTAATAAATATTCTACTGATAACATTTACACTTAAAACAGACAAATTTTTTTTTAAATAAACTTTTGCAATAATTGCACACCATCTACTTTGAACACCACGAGCCACCACTGATCCAAATATTAACTTCATGCGTCAAAGCCTCGGTTAGAAATATATTATGATCGTTTAGACAAATTAATTTTTGAAAAGATAACGCACCACAGTACATTCGCCATTCATTGTCACAATTAAATTTAGATAAGTACATTATTTTGGGAATGTTACTATAAAAAAATTAATATATTTTTTCCAGCCTACATAGGTAGGTAGGTACATTATAAATTATTTGTGTACCCCCTTATGTGAACCTCACAATCCACACAGCATAAAAATATTTCCTAACTATGTTAAAAATATTATCAGGAAAATAATAGTTGTCAAAATATTTTTGAAAGTTACGTAAATAATTGTGAAATTATTTTATATTCTTTGGCCAAGTGGTTCATATTTTTGAAATATTTTTAAAACATTTATAAAATATTTTAATCATAACTTTCAAAAAACATTTTTAGACAATTATATAGTACAATATTTTTTTATCATAAGAAGAAAATATTTATACATATTATTAGTCAAATATTCATTATTCAACCACTTTAATATTCATTATTCACTCCTTTACAACATTCACAAAATATTAATATTTTCCAAATGCTGTATGAGAAGTGGACACTGTTAATTACAATAAATTATAAAAGTTAGAAGTAGGACTTACATTGATCATAAAATTATAATTAAAGTAATAATATTTGCATTGTTTTAAAATAAAAATTTATTTAAAATTATTGGGACGGCATCAAAATACAAAATATGCAACTCATTATTGTACTTAATAATAATTTAATCATACTTGAGTAGCAGGTGGCAAAAACGATAAAATCATATATTTGTTTCTTTGAATCCTTTATTAACATTTCATCAGCTTCGTCCACCCAATGTCTTAATATTGCGAGTACGCAATGCTTTGCGTCTAATCATATCTGTTACAACATTTTAATAAATTAACAAGAATTCAAGAATAAAATCTTTATTACGTACCAAACACACGTCCAGGAGTACCAGAAACAATATGTTGTCCAAAGTCCAATTTCCTTAAGTCTTCTCCAAGGTTAGTACCACCAATGCAAGCATGGCAATTGACATTAAGATAATCTCCCAATGCTAGAACAACCTAAAATATTTTAAGTTAAATAATGGCGATTTAAGCTGGTTTAATTGTTTTTTAGATTTTAAAGCAAAAAACAATTAATCATTGTTTTATTGTATGTTATGACATATGAATGAATAGTGCAATGAAATATTTCCAAGATAATATCATTATGAATAACAATCAAAGATGTATCATTCATTTCAAATACAAAAATTAAAAAATGTATATATTCATAAAATAATTTCTATCTAGGTTATACATGATATGTATTAATATCTAAATTAATAACATAACAAATGATGATGAATGGTTATTTCTAACAAAAATATCTAACTCAACAGTGTAATTATGATTTAGTCCACATTTTTATGCACTCAAAATAGTTAAAATAGGAATAATAATAATAATAGATGCGTAAAAAAATTAGAAAAATGTAGGTAATAAAATATAATTTTTTAAGAAATATGTGAAAATAAGCTCTTATTTAAAATCACATATTATTTCAAATACAAAAACATATAAACATGCATTCTCTTCTAAACAAATCTTGAAATTTCTTACACCTACTGAACTGCATACACTCAAAATCAAATATAAATAATGATTTTAAATTGATATTTCAATGGAATTAAGACGTTCATTGTGGAGGACACCAAATGAAGTCATTTTACATAGTTCGCATATGCTGAATAACCTTGTTATTTAATGGACTATATTTGGCCAGCGTTACGATTAAACTTTTATTTTTTTGTCAGCTTCTTCACACTGATATTTTAATTTTTCAATTTATAAGATATATTTTTTTTAAAACTAGAATTTGAGAGCCGATAATGTTGTTGAGTCTGCATGTCGGAATTTGGCACCGACTCTGAGATAGACTCTGAGCACGAATCCCAAACCGTTTTTTTTTAGTTTCAAAATAAAATATAAAATATTAGAATTGGTTTTACTTTTTGACAGTTTCCTTATATGGTTTTCAGTGTAAAAAACAAAAAAGTATCCCTTGACTTGTTATACAACACCTAACACCACCTCAAGTAGGTCATAGGGTAAGTTATGTTGTATAGTATGTATAGTGATAACACGTCTTGCGGAACTCGTCGCCGCGCTTATAGTAGGGTTGCGCGCATGCGTATAAACATGAAATAGCAAACTTTGGAAGGCTGTAACTTCCAAAATAATCATTTCCGCAAATTAATTTTTACACGATCGTTTAAAACTCGTCGAAATACATAGGTTTCCGACAAAAAAATCGAAAAATTCGGGTGGGCGCTAAACTAGAATTATGCAAAATATATAATTTGTACCTTTTGGATTTGTACAGCAAGCTCTCGGGTTGGCGACAAACATAACACTTGAGTGTCTCTTAACTGGCTGTCTATAGATTGTAGCATCGCAATAGAAAATGTAGCCGTTTTACCAGTTCCTGACTGAGCCTGGGCAATGACATCGCGCCCCTTGATCATTGGCTTTATGGCTCTTTGTTGGATAGCTATGGACGTTTCAAAACCTAAAGAACACAATTCAATACATATGAACCAAAATATAGTAGTGGCAATTACGATGTTAATGCTCAATGACCATGAATGTTAACGAGCCACTTACCTTACGAGTATATCCACGAACCAAGTCTTCGCGAAGCTTCATATTATCGAACGTCGCGAGTACTTCGACATCTTCGCTGGTTTCGAACTCGACGTGCGATAAATCTTCGGTCAGAAGTCCTGTACGTCTGACGGCCATTTTGTAAGTTATGGTATTTACTTACTGTATTCACGGATAAAAAAATCAACGACCAGTCATTTGACGACGAAAAAATGCGAGAATGAACGTATCGTCAACGAAAAGTCGAAAAACGTGGAGACAAATTCTAAACGTTACGCAGCGAAGAATATTAATTCGATCAATTGTTTGGCGACGGGAAAGTGAGGTATTGTTAACAACAACTATTTAGCGTGTGTTCAAGGTGATAAGGGGTAACAAAGATTGGACCAGGTTACCGGTTAGAAAGGCCGATGGCTTGTATACCAATGCTATTTCCCGCTAAAATTCGGATATTCAAATATAATATGTACGATAATATGAAAAATGTAGGCATAGTGTATAACTACTGAAAGTCTGGAAGTAGGCTACAGTTTACCAGAAATACAAAATATCATTACTATTTAATGTCACGAATTATCAAGATATTGTAATATACAGTTTGTACCTACTAAAAGTCCCCTATTACCCTAATAAGTATTTCAGACTTCCAAGATAAATCAATAGATTTAAAACATAACAGTTATCATCATAATATTTTCAAACTATATACATTTCAAAAAACATTTTTATGCAATTTAATTTTTAAATATTAAAATCACTATTTTAATCATGTTTAAAAAAAATTATATTTCATACCTATCTACTTTTATTCATGTTTATATTTTTGCTTACAATTAGTACCTATAGCTAATTATTCTTATGAAATATGATAATCAAAAATTTAACATGGTTTAACTTGATCCAGGGGAGTAGTTAGAGGGGAATTAGGGGATAAATCCCCCCAAAACTTTTTTTTTACTGCTAACATTTTTATCAAGGTATTGATGACCACTCATGTTTGCTAAAACGTATATCCCCCCCCCCCCCCCCAACCAAATTCCTAATTACGCCACTGACTTGGTCAGTCTTTATTAAACTTGAATATATTTATATTTTTAATTGTATGAATATTTTAAAAACTAATTAGCATAAGTCAGTTTTTACTGTTTTAAGTTATTTTGTACCTATACGGCTATACACTTTCATTAAATTAAATCTATTATTGTTGAGAAAACCGAATTAAATAAATTGATATGTCACAGGACGTACATTGAGCGGTAATGAACTTTTTAAAAGGACTTATACAATACGCTCATCCTTGGAAATTGAGGGAAAATTGAAACTAGAATGATTTAAAATAAAAATATCTGTTAAAACATAATTACCTATTGGATAGTTAGTATATACAATATACATAGTATATTATAATAGGATTGTTTACTTATGTATACATTATAGGTATCTATCTACCTACGTTTTATTCATATTATATTATTATTTTATAAGACACTAGGTATTATGCATAATGACACCTACATTTTATACGTACCTACCTATATATATTTTTTTTATTTAAAAATCAAACAAACATATATTACAGTTTAGATATTATTCTTAGTTACTTATTTGACTAATCTACCTCATGTAAGCTTGTGTTGGAGATGGGGAATAAGATTATTATTACATAATAAATATAAATATGGTAATATTACAATTCCTGAACATAAAATATAAAATACATTAAAATTTGTTTACACTGCAATGTTCTTCTTCTTATTTATTATTTCTTTATATAAAACAAAGTTCAAGATAGATACATTACTATAAATAAAACATTAAAAAATATTAAAAATCCTTAGTCACAATATTTTTTTTATAAGCATTTAAAGTTCAAAAATTGGCAAAATATGTAAAAATCACGAAAATTAGCAAATTATTTTGAGTTAAGAATTCGTAAAAAATTTTCTTTTTAAATCTATGGTTTTTTAAATGTAATACAAGATTCCTTATAAGATTATCTACCTTTATCAAAAAAAAAAAATGTCTATAAGAAAGGCAAATTAAATTTTTATGAGCGTTCGAAATTCAAATTTTTACAACATTGCAGGATATTCACTCGATTTCTCATATAGCGATTTCCTTATTTTGTTGTAATTCAAAAACAAATAACTGTAGATACATGAAAATTTCACTGAATGTTCATATTAGCATTTCCTATGCACCATACAATTTTGATTCATTTGAGCTGTTTACGGAAATTTTCAGTTTTCAATTTTTTTAGTTTTTTTTCTATAAATATCAATAAAGTTTTATCGGTTGGGCCAAAAAGTGTAAAAATGTAATACAAGACTCCTGCTATATTGTTGCAATAGCAATTGAAAAATATTAAAAATACATATGCTCAATTTTTTTTTATAAGCATTTAAAGATCGAAGTTTGACAAAATTTATCAAAATCTCGAAAATTATCAACCATTGTAATTAATAAATTATAAAATATTCAGTTTTTATAGCTAAGGATTGAAATTTTAAAACAAAGGTTCTCATAAATATTTCATATACTGTAACCAAAAAATTTAAAAAATATATGAACACAGTTATTTTTTACAGACATTCTAAATTTAAATTTGGACGAAATTACATATTAAAAAACCTAGAATAACTATTTTAGTTATTTTGGTGTGATTGAATAATATTATTCGTGGGTACTTGAAACTTCTAAAGTGTACTATTATATATCTATGATAGTATCACGGTTTTTGCTTATGTATAGCGCGTTATAAGTACCTAATGGATATTGTGATATGATTAATTTGGAATTTGTTATAGGTAGGTACCTATTATAGGTCAATTTTTAGTTTAATACCATAGATAGGTATATAATATGTCTTATACCTAGACTGACATACCGTCTTCGCTCAGAATCGTTTTTCTTATACAATGATATTATATCGTTGAATTCAAATTTAATATCATCCATAATACAGTGGCTTGTAACCTACTGTACACCAGAGCGACACCCACTTGCCCACCTTTTTTTTTACTAAAATTCTTATGATAATTATCTAATTTAAAATTCTTAACCAAGTACAAGATAACATTTATATATAGGGTGGGGCAGTGAAATGAGAGATCATTCTATATATTTATATACGAAAATCCACCGGTTCACTGCCCCACCTAGTATATAAATAAAATAGTTATTTTAGATTCAAGATTCTAGTCTCTTATATTTTTTTAATTATCATTAATATAATGTACACAATAGTAAAAAAAATTGAGAACCTACAATATTTTTACAATACAAATATTTTAAAAATTAAAAATTGTTTTGCTAATGTCAATAAAATTTAGAAAGAATTTTATGTAGATGATATACCATCTAACAAGTAACAACACACTTATATTTTAATAGTTAGTTTTAAATTTCAAATTGAGATCTGTGCCGAAAGTCACAGCTAGATGTTGCTAGGCTGGTGTGCAAACCTTAATTTGGTCCTAAATACTTTTAGCCGGCATTTATATTATGGAAGGTAGTCTAATTTCTTATAGATCTTTTCTTTTGACCGTCCTAAAATTTTTTGTATACATCATTCTAATTTTTTTTACATTATTATAAAGTGAAGTATCATGCAAAACTATGACATAGGCACAACTTTTTAATATTATATTACTGTGCAAGTGTTTTTGTCGACACACAGTTTATTATTTTCCGTTTCCACTTCATGAAATGGACAAATTTTCATGAACAGATGGATTTCGTTTACGAGAAGTTATATACTGTTTCTGGTCAGGCATCAAATTTATTTTATAATAAATAAATTTTAAATATGTTTAACTAGTAAAAGTAGGTATCCAATTAATACTTTAATTTTACAGTTAAATGTAGAGGAATTTGTTACTTGGAGTCGTCAAAATTACCTCTCACTAAATATAAATAATTATAGTGTTTGTTTTAGAAGTAGGTAGTTATAATGTGTGTGTTAATTACAATAAAATTAATATATTATAAGAACATGACTTAATAAAATGGGTATAATGGATATAATATTAAAAGTAAATAGTAATATAATAATGTGTGAACATAACCTATAACATATAACCAGTATTGTAAAAAATACTTTTTAAAAGTATTTAAGTAATTACTGAAATACTCTTAAAATAAAGTATTTAAAATACCACAAAAAAGTAAAGTATTTGAGTGATCCTCAAATACTTTTCAGAAGTATTTTAAATAATCTTCAATTACAAAAAAAAAAATATTTTTACTTTTTAGTGCTGAAATAATTTGTAATAATCAAAAATTTGTTTATTGCATTTTAAAAACATGATTTGTTCAATAATCAAAATTCTGACCAGTCATGTTAGTTGCACCACAACAATGAACTTTTTTCTACAAAGTTATATATTAATTCAAAATTATAATATGTAGGTATTTGGATATCTCATACCGCCGTCGACGATAAACGATAATGATAATTATTGATAAAAATTGTCTTTCTAAATAGGTAGTAGGTACTAGGTACTAATAATTACCTAGTAATAATATTTTCGTATAGTTAAATAATTGTAAAGTATAAACTATAAAGTATGATAGCCGACAAGCAGAAGCTTCTATACCGACTACAGATGTATACCTATCTTTTCGATCTGTCTCGAAACTGTCTCCTGGAGAAAAAAAAATCATTTAATCGACAAAAACCGATACCAAATTGTATGTGTGTGTTTTTATTTAACAAGAATTTGAGTGAAAATTTCATGTATCCACCGTCATTTGTTTTAGAATTAAATCTTTTTCAAAACCGATTTTTTGTAAAATTTCTTGTTTTTCCCTATTTTTTTTTCGTTTTTCCCGGCACTTAAGAAAACTACTGAGAAATTAAACCTATATTGACCTCCTCAATGCACCAACTAGATTCACTTTCCCATCAAACAAGATACTGAAGTTGAAAATCAAAGCATTATTTCGACTACGTATCGTATACAGACACAAATAATAAACAATTAAAAAAACACACATCATTGTAAAATTAGTACATTCATCTCTCCGCTCTGAATCTAAAATGTAATAATTATAGATCCATCGTTTCACTAACAAAAAAAAAAATTTAATCTTATATGTGTAATAAAAATAAAAAGCTGCAGTTCATTGGTTAATTAAGAACGGCTGGACCGATTTGCTTCGTTTCTTTATAAATGTTTGTAATATTCCGAATGATGTTTTTATAAAAAGAAAAATGGAAAGTTGGCTAGAAAATGAGGGGAAAAGTGAAAGGACTTAAATAAAAATAAATAGTGCAAAATCGACGCAAATATTTTGAAAATTATTTCGTGTACATACCTACGGACATAATCATATGTTCGCTACTATGGCGACTACCTATATGGTAGTTGTGTACGTTTGTCGGTTAAATAATGACTTTTAATACCTTATTATAACAAACGCACACAATATGTATACGCTTATAAATATTTGTGTGTTGTATGATACACAAAAATATACGTGAAGTGCACAGATATCTCGACTTCAGAATATTGTCCATCAATAATCTCGCCGGGGCAGTCGTATACTAGTGCCAGCAGTACGTTACTGCCGGATTTCTAGGATATCGCCTTTCAATAATAAACACCTTATATTGTACGGTATAATGTCATACAACAGTGTCCCGTGACGCGTTCGCGCAGGTCAGCTACATATTTTATAATACTTTCGCCTACTGAACAGAGGTATACGAGCAGGCTACACCGCGTACGGCCCCGAACATCATCATGACCGTGGACACCGACACCGACGATTGCGATGCGACCCAATCACCGCCGACGGGCCTGATGCGCGATATATTCCGGTCGGTTAATAGTTTGATGCCGGTTCCATTCACTGGCTGCCGGATCCACATGCTTGCCAAGGCAGAACGGCTGGGGTGGCCGATCACGACGGTGTTCAAGATGGACACGGACGGCCCCAAGCCAACCGGCGTGTGGGTGTCAGCTTTATACGAAATGGCGGAGTGGCAGGGCCTGACAGCGTCCGCAATGACAGACCTGCACCCCAAGTCGGGCAGATGGAACTTCGAGGCGATCAGCCGGTTGGCAACCGGTAACAACTGGCTGGACGCGTCCTTGACCGGACAGGTGTGCGGGTGGAGCCACCCGGTTAAGTTACACGTCAACATAGACTATTGGTTTCCGACCAGGACGCTATCCTTGTCCATCGACCCGATGTTCAAGAACTGTGCCTTCCAAGTCCTGCAAGTAAACTCCTAATCATACATACCTATTATATATCTAGGTAAATTTACATAGTACAACTCTGCGTATAAGGAAGACATTGAATTTAAGTTCACTAACAAACGAGTCATTTTTAAATAGCTGAATCTTGAATATATAGGGCACTTTTTGTTACACGGATTGTCTTTGTGAGAGTAGTAAATAATGAAAAAAATAAAAATATATTTTAAAATTTTTAAAATAATAGTAATATTGGATTTTTAGGTACATATAAGTATGTTAATTTTTTTAAATTGAGGACAGAATTGTTGATATTTACTATCGTAAAATAGACTCATCCCTAATTGATAATAAATTGTATTGTTTTTTATTTACGTTTTATTTATTGTGTTTGTTGGCAGTCAGTAACGGATCGGCTGTCGCTGGGCGTAAATTTGGCGTTTAAAAGGGACACCACGTGCGGCTTCAGTGAGTCTCAGTTACGACCGAATCTGGTGGCCAAGTATGCCGGGCCCAATTACCTGATCAGCGGTAGATTGAAGACAACAAACTGGGCCACCAAGCTGGCGGTCTATCATCATTGCACCGACTTTCTGCAAACGGGCACCATGGTCGAACTGAACCCGACCAGCTCGGTAGTTACTACCCGGTTGGCGTTTCGTATTCTGTCCGACACGTCCGTGTTTCGGGCGGCCATCGATACAAACGGCATCGTCAGTAGCCTGTGGGAGAAGCGGATGGGCGATCGGATGGCCGTGTCGCTGAGTGCGTTCCTGAACCACGCGGTGCAGGACCACTACGGAGTGGGCATAGGTCTGTCATTCGAATAACATATAATGATATGATTATTATCGTTGGCAATCATGCCCATACACTGTTCTACGGTTGATGGTCATTTTGTCGTCATTACCATTACAATTGAATTAGATATTAATAAAATATGTACTTAATATAAATATATATATGTGCCATGACCTATTTCGACAAACGAGTCGTAAATCATGTGAAAAACCTTTTAAAAGAATTAAATTGATACATTTTTGAAAAACATCGTACGCAAACATGCAAGTGTCATTTATTTACACTGTTGTGTAGTTTAGACGTGTATTAGTAGTCCACTACAAAATACAAAGGTATACAAGGAGGTGATGTGGGAGGTCAGATCACCCCATAGGCCTTTTTTTTCAATGTTTATAAATTAGTGTTCTTAGTGTTAGCGCATTACAAGGAAACATAAAAAAAAATAATAGGTAAATTGTGTACCTACTTTAACTGTTTGGTTTAGGCCTTAAGGGCGTCATTTGAACTTTTTCAAAGTAGGTAGGTAGGCCAAAACAATTTCAGCAGATATATATATTATAATATTGCACTGTAGTTGTTACAAAAAAATCTTTTTCTCGCTCCGCTTCAAAATTAGAATCTTTATATTTTAAATGTACCTACTTAATAATCTAATACATCAGGAATATTACACCTTATAACACTAAGTTTGTACTTAAATTATTTAAACTCCAATTTTAATATTTATAGAAACGCTGTTGTACCTAATTATATAATACCTATATTTTGTTATTTATTGTTTTAATGTGCAGGTACCTTGGTTTTAATTTTTTTTAAGTAACTACCACGGTTATCTACACATCTAGATAACCGTGGTAACTACTAACTGTATCAGTAGCGCAACCAGAAATATCCTTTGGGGGGGGGGGGTCCAAAATTATATTACAACAGATATAAACATAAATAATTGTGTTAATAATAAATGTATTTTTTATTTGTGTTAGGTACCATATTAATAATAAAATGTATATATAAAAAAAAATATAATGAAAATATATCAAATAAAATTATAAAATAAAGTCTAAACGACGCTTTAAATTCGATAAACGCTGTATTACTTCTTCGGACTTGACATCAATATCATAGTGAATATTGAGAGCAGCTAGTCCATTCAATCTCGATTCGGACGTTGAGTTTCTTAAGTAAGTTTTAATGCGTTTGAGTGTAGAAAATGATCTTTCAGCTTCGCAAGATGTGACAGGAAGTGTGACCAGTATTTGCAAAAGCTTAAAAACATTTGGAAATAAATCTGAATTGCAATTATTCAATATGTTGATGGCATTTTTTGTTTTAATGTTACTATCATCTAGATAACGATTCCATAGTAAAATTTCTAATTTCACAAGATCTCGTAGATTGTTTACATCGACATTCAATTTTTTTAATTCAGTAATTATATGATTCGCTAAACTTTTACCACTCACATCATGTACTGGAATAAATTTTAAAAAATCTTCACGAATATTTTTGTTTTTCTTATCATAATAACGGGCACATAGAGCAAACTGTTCAGTACCCGATATATCAGCGGTTTCGTCCGCTATTATTGAAAAAAAATTACTTTCATTAATTCTATTTACAATTTTTGATGAAATAATTTCATAACAAATGCTAACAATTTCATTTTGTATTTTCCAACTTATGTATTGTGCATTTCTACCACAATTTTCTCTTGCTAATATAAAACTTTCATCGCCGGATGTAGCAGTTGCCTTAAGGAAAAATCTCAATAACGCCAAACAAAATTTATTATACTTACAATATATTATTATATTCCCAAATTAATTAAAAAATGTTCCATTTTATAAATACTCAAGGGGGGGTCTGGACCCGGGGACCCCCCCTTTGGTTGCGCCACTGAACTGTATCGTACCTAAACTTATTACTTTGGTATAAATGTAGTTTAGTTCCCATTTGATTATTGAATTGTTTTATCATTATCAGTGTACCATTGACATAGTGATATGTCACCACAACACTTTTGTACTAAAATGCATCTCAAAGATAGCGACTATCAATAATACAAAAAAAAAAAAAACGATCATTAGTATGTTGGGGATCGCCAATATTAAACATTTTAATTAAAAATAGTTGAACCGTAAAACGTTTGAAAACCTCTGAACTAATAGATACACAGAATAAAGTTTGAGTGAGGTAGTACATTATAATAGTAAAAATCAGAAAAATATTTTTAAAAGTACTTATAAAAAAAATATTATATCTGTAAATTATAAAGAAAAAGCTCCAATTCTATATTTTTGATTAACATTATTCCAAGGATGCCAGGAAGATGTGGTTTCAATGAATAACAAAAACTGAAATATTTTTGACAGTATAAAAATGTTGCTTTTTTAGTCAAGAATATATTTAGTAATACTTTTTGTTATACAGATAGCAGAGTTATTAAAAATAACCAAAATATACATAAATCATGATGTATTATTATGAATGTTATGTATTTAGTTTTCAAAAAATAAAAATAAAAATATTTAATTTTCCTACAAATATTACAACCTAACTCGTGAGAAGCACACAATACAATAAGATTTAATACAATATATATATAATTTACAAATTAATACAGTTTCAATGAACAAGTAAAATATAAATATAAGTTTGTAAATAGATTTTCTTTAAAAATTATAACTATTTTATTATAGTTATAAATACAGTCGGACATGATTAGCTCAAAGTAGAAAGGACCGGCCAGAAAGTTATTCGAGAATTTGAGTTAAAAAAGTCTGAGTTAACCGTACTGTTCGACTGTAATAAGTTTGATTATCGCGACCATTTTTATATTATTTATTGCTTATACAAATTATACATCTTAGTAGGATATACTATGTGTATATAATATTTACTCTATAAAATAAATTTTGTTACAATTTGTCAACTATATAAATATAAATATGTAATATATTATATAAAATAAAAAAATTTAACATAAAATAATAATCCTATCACGGGTGGTGGGGTTCAATTTGTTCATTACATGGAATAGGGGTCCTGAGGCTAGTACAACAAAAAGTAGGTGTAGATATAAAAAAGAAATATGTATAAACAATAAACATAATAGTATATCATTGTTTGTACAAATTATGTTGCGTCATGGCATAAGTCTTAAATTAAAAAAAAAAAATGATTAGTCAGAGGACTAAAAAGGATAGTACTTAATGATAACAATGAAAAATATAATATATAATATTCTATATATTTATGATTATGTTACAACAAATAAAACTTTAGTACACAGAACTGAATACATAGTAATATAGTATGAAAATGAGTAAATCTTCTGGTATATTAAGATAAATCCATATTATCATAATCATTATTAGGAATCAAAATGAGTGTCTAATCAGTTACGATTTATGAATAAAGGTTCTTTGCATTCAGTACTGTGCTAACATGTGTACACACACATATAAAAACAAAAATAATAGGTAATTTGTAAAAATAGTACCTAATAGTTTAGGTTTAATTATTTAGCACGTATGTATAAATATTTTTTACCGACAGCTGTTGTAAATGTAAGTAGCGGTAAAAAAATTTATGGAAGGGATACTGTTAAAGTTATCAATACAAAAATAAATATTGAGGAAATCGTGAGCTGAAAAAAAAAGTATAAAAAGAATAATCTAGGCGACTATTTATACACTGCATTTATATTATACACAGAAGCTGGTTAAACGGTTGCCTTGCAGTAAAAAAAATAAAAATTCACAAATTTTTAGAAGACGAGCTTTAAGACGTACACTTAGTCCTGCCGTCCATTAGACGGCGCCATAAATCAAACTGCTCGTAATACTTGACCATGTGCAAAGAAATTACTCCTTGATCTTTTTTCTTTTTTTTTAAATCTTTGTCCAAAGCTGTATCACCCCAATACCATCGGAACCAACTAAAACCACTGCTCCCACTAGTACCGGCAGTATCGCTGGGACTAAGACCATTGCACACGGCTCGATCCAATGCTCGGCCAGTGATTTTCTTGTTTGCAAATTGATCATCATGGATGCGTCGCACCTTCACAATTATATCTGTCATCTTTGGTTTCTTATTTTTACTACCATCAAGGTGGTCATGGTCTTCCACCACTTTACCATCACTTGATTTTTGGTTATAATCACCGTCACTTGCAGAGATCTTTTCTTTTTTCTTAAGCTCCCGGCGTGCCTGTCGCTCTGTTGCACGGCGCGTTAGTCGCTCAGCCACTACTCCAGTCAAGTATACATCCTCGAGTTTTAAGTATGGCACGGTATTTTTGCTGACATATACACTTGATGTTGCTTTATCATCACCAGCGTCTAACGTCTGATTACCATTACCACACTCTTTCCCTAGATATGTTTTGACTTCCAAATCTTCTTCATTCGTATTTTTTTTGTTTTCCTGATTACCATCTTCGTCTTCATCATCAACCACGTCAAAATCTTTGCCCAGTGCCGCCTCGTATAGTGGGCCAACAGCCGACCGAGTCATAAGGTATGCTGGTCCCGTGCAGAAATCAGGATACACTCGAGCAGTGTATTGTGTACGGGAAACATAATATTTACTATTATGTTGTCGTATCGGACGCCAACCATGTGCTAGCCGTCCCCATATGGTAGGCGGCAGTTCAATATCAAAACTAGGAGTTGCTACAGACTCAAACATATCCGCACCTATGGTGAATAATTCGTATGGGTCATGTATGGGTTCAATGGGGCGAGGATAAAGGCCAGTAGATTCTGTAGCACTTTCAGTCTCCACTTTGTTGATGAACCGCAGTAATCTACGTACGTCGATGAACATGTCATCGTCTGTTTTTAATAGGTACCGAGCCCACGGACAATATTGACGGGTCCATTCGAGAGCAGCGATAGATTTCAGGGTCAAGTTGGTGTAAGTGTCTCGAGACTGGCACTGTACCAAGTCACCATACCGACCATATTCTCGCCCTAATACTCGTTGCACCGCACGTTCTGCTTCATTCAGTCCATGCATAGCATGTGCATCTAAGCCTTCTCCAGGATTTGGTTCTTGGCCTTTCAAAATTCGGTACTGCCCATGATCCCCATCCAGTGGTTCTACAACCACATTGGCCGCTGCTGAAGGCTTGAATTTGACTTTTTCCTTTGGTTTGATGTTATTATTGATATCATGCTTATTTAAACGGATCTTTAGAGCTTGTTCTTCTGCCTCCAGAACTCGAGCCACTGGGTCTGTCTCAGACATTTGTGGCGTACCTACTAGGAATGCCATGCTCACACTCGGACCATATCGGTTCATCCATGTCATACGAATGGCTTGTCGGTTTTGAGAGTGCTCTGGTGCCGCTGCTGAAGTGATCAGCACTAATAACCGAGTGCTAGTGGAACAGAGGCCTGCATTCCGTATCCGGAATCCAGGTTCGTACATATCAGCTGCCGTCACCACACCACTAGGTTTTATCTTAAGCTGTTTTCTCCGCCGCTTCTTACTGTTAATACTACCACAATCAAGGTTTGTGCGTGCGTTTCCGCCAGTCATCGTTGCTATGTCCGCAGTTGCATCTGGTTGCACTCCGATCATCAAATCACTGTTTCCTGAAAACGATAAATCATGAAATAATAATTGTACTAAGAAATAACATAATAATATTATCAATAAATTTCTTAAGAGGAGTACATAAGACACTAACAATAATCTGAGTACGATCATTGCAGATTTGCAGCTCGAGTAATAAGTATGGGTTAATTTTCTCCAAGAAAAGGATGTTTATGTATAACCTTGGGTGTACAATCTCTCTATATCTGAGTTAAGACACTATCCTATTTATGTGCTATTTCAATAGTAATCTAACAAAATTTATTTGTTTAATAATAAAGTATAATTTAATTTAATACAAATAGACCAGAAATTATACAAATAAAGTGTCAAAAACTTGTTAAGAATGACATATTCAAATAGTTATAATATTGAGCAAAATATGTTGTTATATATAATACAGTATACAGTAAAAACATTAAATTTGTATGTTTAACAATAATTATATATTTAATTTTTTGTTATAGATTAAAAGATTATTATTTGGACTGAAACCTTCAAGTATAAAAAGGTGGGTAAGTGGATGTCGCTCTGCTGTACAGTAGGTTACAAGTGGGTCACTGTATAATTGATGCTATTAAATTTGAATTCAATGATACAATATCATTGTATAAGAAAAACGATTCTGAGCGAAGACGGTATGTCAGTCTAGGTTAAGACAAATTATATACATATCTATGGTATTAAAAAAAAATTGACCTATAATAAATTCCAAATTAATCATATCACATTATCACAATATCCATTAGGTACTAATAACACGTTATACACCAACAACAAACCCTGATACTATCATATATATATAATAGTACACTTTAGAAGTTTCAAGTAGGTACCCACGAATAATATTATATAATCACAACAAAATAACTAGGTTTTTTAATATGTAATTTCGTCAAAATTTGAACATAAAATGACTATAAAAATAAACTGTGATTGTATATTTTTTAGATTTTTCGGTAAGAGAATTAACTACTTACGTGGAATCTTGTTTTAAATTTTCAATCCTTAGCTATAAAAACTGAACATTTTATAATTTATTAATTACGATGATTAATAATTTTCGAGATTTTGAAAAATTCTGTCAAAATTCGATGTTAAAATGCTTATAAAAAAAAATTGTGCCTATGTATTTTTAATATTTTTCAACTGATATTGTAACAATATATCAGGAGCCTTGTATTAAATTTTTACACTTTTTGGCCCAACAGATAAAACTTAATTAATATTTATAGAAAAAAAAAACTAAAAAAATTGAAAACTGAAAATGTCCGTAAACGGCTCAAAAAGAGTCAAAATATTTTCAAAATTGTATGGTGTATAGAAAATGCTAATATAAACATTCAGTGAAATTTTCATGTATCTACAGTAATTCGTTTTTTAATTACAACAAAAAAAGGAAATTGCCACATGAGAAATCGAGTGAATATCCAATGTTGTAAAAATTTGAATTTCAAACGCTCATAAAAATTTAATTTGACTTTCCGGTAGAGATTTTTTTATTGATAAAGGTAGACAATCTTATGAGTAATCTTGTATTAGATTTTCAAATCTTAGATTTAAAAAGAAAAATTTTTACGAATTCTTAACTCAAAATAATTTGCTAATTTTCGTGATTTTTCCATATTTTGTCAATTTTTGAACTTTAAATGCTTATAAAAAAAAATTGTGACTAAGGATTTTTAATATTTTTCATCTGCCCTTGAAACAATATATTAGGAGCCTTCTATTAAATTTTCAAGCTTTCGCAACCAACAAATAAAATTTTATTGATATTTCTAGAAAAAAAACAAAAAAAAAACTAAAAATGAAAATGTCCCTAAAATGTTCAAAATAAATCAAAATTTTTTGAAAATGTTATCGTGTATAGAAGATGCAAATATAAACAACCAGTGAAAATTGCATGTACCTACGGTCATTTGTTTTAAAGTTACACCAAAAACCAAATTCAATTTTCTGAAAAATCGATTTTGCGTAAAAATTCCCGTTTTTCCTTAATTTTTCTTTTGTTTTTCCCGGCGCTCTTGAAAACTACTGGGAAATTTAAATTTTGACCTCCCCAATGCACCAACGATATTCACTTTCCAATCGAACAAGATACTGAAGTCGAAAATCGAAGCATTATTTCGACTACTTATCGTGTACACAGACACAAAAAAAATAAAAATAAAATAAAAAAATAAAAAAAAAAACACACATCATTGTAAAATCAATACATTCATCGTTTCACTCAGAATCTAAAATAACAAATTTATATTTATTTTAAAAAAACCATTTTAATTGACTTTCAAAATTAAAACTCAACTTTCAAAAATATTAATTAACACTGCATCTTGTGTACTAAATTATTAAAGAATGTACGTACCTAATGATTGTTGGCTATATGCAACAGGCATCACTGTACCACCTGTACTGCCACCAGTACCATATAGACAGTATAGGGCACCCATGATGAATAGAAGAGCTGTAGTGACAGCAGCTTTAAAGCCACCACCGCTACTATTGGCTGTTCTAGTTAGCTTTCTAATATAACAGCCAGCAACTATATTAGGGTTATATCGATTACAACCACAAATTGACACACCAGACAGGGCGTTAGAAACGCAACGCCGAGCCGCCGTAAACATAACAATGTTGATGATTAATTGTGAGCCAAATGTAGTTTTATATCACTGAAACAAACAGATTTTATAAAATAAATTTTTGCTGTATATTATTTATCACAATTACAAAAATATCTTACCAACATTTAATTAAATATATAAGTACATATTAGTTGAAATATTTATTAACAATAAAAAAATTAAACAAATGGAATATTTGAATATATTATATTGGGCATCTAACTAATACATTGGTAGTTTTATCAATGTATAAAATATCATCAAAAATAATCTATTATTATGTAGTCTTGTTGACTTTATATGGATAATTCAATGTTACATTTTAAAATAACTAAATTAAACTGTTATAATAATGAACACTTTTTATTAAACAGTGAATTATAATCAACTACTTACTCAAAACAGAATTATGCCTACATTTAGTGTCTTTTGAACCCCCTTATAAACCTAATCAGTGATTAATCACTATATCTATGTAGCATTAATAAATATAATTTTAAAAGTCATTAGGGTACAGTGATACACATCATGTCAATTAGTACTTCACCGGTTGAAAACCACGACCCTAGGGCATCGACCATAAATTAAGCAATAGACAAAACTTTTATAAACACATTTTAATTTTATTTTGATTAATTCACACATTGATATAAAATAACCAGTTTATATATATATTCAGTGTACTTATTATCCAGCATTGTAAACTTATACTGTTTAAATTAAAGCTAGTATTATTCTCAGTGTTTGGAAGAAACAAGTTCCAAAAAGAATGGATTCCTGGAACGAATTCCTTTTTAAAGATCGGCACGTTGAACAAATACCCTTTAATAAAAAAAGATCAAGAAAATGAACAAGTCCTTTTATTTCAAGGAAAAATACAAAATGTTTCGTTCCTTTCTAGTTCCAATAATTTACACAGATATGTAAGAAATTGAAATTAAGAAACTAAACATTTTTTTTATGTGTATATTGCCAATTAGTGATCATTATCGAGTATCGACGTTTATCGTTACTCATTAGTCATAAGTCTCTTTATTAATATTTCTTTAAGTTAAAAGTTATAATTTATATAGAAATGAGTACCTATATAAAATATTATTATTATTATTACAATAAACAATAATAAGACGGTCGACATACATGAAATAGAATGTAGAATAATGTAGGTTTATATTCTAATTTGCTAGTGGGAGAATTAATAATTATTATTAATTAAAAATTAAAAAAGTATGCATATGAAAAAAAAACATAAATGATTAAATAAGAATTTTCAATAAAAAATAAGTCGTTCATTTTCCAAAAGAGCGACAAAGGAACAAATTTTTTTTTAACACGTTCACTGCATATCATATTTTTGTATACCTACTTGTCGTGACGCTGACAAAATTCTAGTTTTAAAAAAAAATTTTCTAAAAATTGAAAAATTAAAATATCAGTGCACTGTTTGCACCTGATTATGAAACAATGCTTAAAGAAGACGCTGACAAAAAACCAAAAGATTAATTGTAAAGCTGACAAAAATTATAGTCCATTAAATAACAAGGTACATGACGCCAATTGGCTTTTTACGCAGCAAACGTGTTAAGGAACAAGGAACGGAACAAATTACTTTATATAAGGAACTTGCCAAACACTGAATTTATTCTAAATATTCTTATTAAATTACACTATAAATACTATAGTCTGTAATATTTAAGATTTCGTGTGAAATCAATTTTATATTTATTATTCAAAATAAACCATTATTTAAAAAACTGAATAGATGACTGATGAGTGCTCCACCTAGTTATTAAATGTTTGTTTTCATTATTAAATACATTTTTAGATAGAAAATGTATTATATTAGTATAATTATAACAAAAAAATAATTTTATTTTGGTTACCTTTAAAAAAAAATAATAGTAAAATTTAAACGATCAAAATATAATTTAAATTTGTTATACATATAGTCTGGTCCTACATGACTTCCTCTAAACAATGTTTTTCAGTAGCAGGCAGCCTAAAATTTAGTAATACTTAACCAACTTTAAATAGTAGTATGGCAGTATATTATTACCTATATTGGAACAAAATATTGTTTATTTACATGCTCTATATTGTGTGAATGTAATAGTAATACACTTTAAGGATTATTGTATAAGCAGATATAACAAATGAAGTACTTATTTTAGAAACATTAGAAATTTAAGAGTAAAAATATACTTCTGTACAATTTTTAATACTTTTAATAATATTTATTGCAACTATTAATGCACATTAAATTAAGTTAATTCGGGAGTTAGATGCATATAAAAATGTTTGGTTCAAATTTGTGTAAGGTGACAGGCAAACTTAATACAAATTAGTAAATCAAATTAACTCTTATGCGCATTCAAATTTGCAAACAAATTGAGTGCCTACATATTACTATACATGTACCAATTTTTATTAATAACTCATAAATATAATACAACTATAATACTAATGGTTGCATATAAAGATAACTTAGATCTAAACAAATACAATTTAATTTCTAACATTTTATACTAATTATTATTGTTGTTAAGTATTTTCTCAATAGACGTTCAAAAGCCTATGGTATATTATTGTCTATGATAATGTCATAAAATAATATTACCAAATAATATAAGATTGGAAAACTATGAATAATAATTGGAAAAAATTAGGTACTTCCTGACTGTACCAAATAAACATGTTAAATCCAAAAATTGCATTTATAGAAAACTTACATTAAAATAAAAGTGGTTTTTGGTTTATAATATTCTTCCATTAAATACTACACATTTCAGCTAGTAATATTCGTCTTTATGTAAAATGATTGGTATGGATGAGTGTGGAATGTGGATGTGTCAGTACTATTAGAAATTAGAAGTGCCCAAATACCTATATGTTTTAATATATGAATATTATCTATTTTGTATCTATTGCCTACTCTAAACTATTAGTCACAAGTAAATAATATAGGTACTTGGAATATTGATTAGGTAGCAGTTGTTAGTGAGAATTTAGATAGTAATTAATGTACATAATTAAATTAAAAATATAATATTACCTACGATATTAAATTTTTTTATAATGATGTAATAGTTTTGAGAGAACTTAACAGGCATCATATAATTTAAAACAATATTTTTTAGTTGTTCAATAATAAGGTTAAATTATTAATTACTAGGGCCCAAAACTTGATGCATTTGCATATTTTTTCCTAATTTTTACATTCGAGGCTAGTCTTTACAGAAATTTGATTCATGGAATATAGATTTTAATGGTACAATTTTACTTTGCATTTTTTGGGAATTTTTGCTTTATGGTCATTTTTTAGTATTTTTGTATTCTTTTTTACATATATTTGCATTATTCTTGTTTAAAGTTACACATTCAGTGTCTATTAGCTTGTCGATTACCGATGTTCATTATCTTTATAGTTTGTCGTCACAATATACGATTATATATTTTGGTACTATAAATGTATTAAAATCAGTGCTTGAAATTAAAAATTTTACAAACCAGAATGCTTATATAATTAATATGCCTTATGTGAATATGACCATGAAACTTACTTAATATTAATTTTAAATTTTAATTATGTTAATATATGTTTACAATAAAATATAAATACATATTTTAAGCTTAAAAAAAATTGAAATATACAATATTAAGAGTTTATATTAATCAGGGACGCCATTTGGGGTATTGCAGGGTATACATTGGTGGCCTTTTTTTTTTCCCCGTATCATATTGGCTTGCCTTAATTTCATGCTAGCGCCGATGCTCGATGTATCAGTTTAATTGAATTAACTGAAATAATTAAATATATGATAAAAATATTTCATAAATAAGGGGATATACAATATACATAGATTACATAGATATTAAAGATTTAGAAAGAAAATGTATATTAGTTAATAATGATAGTATACCTAACCTATTTTTAAACTGAAATGGTGCCCCTGATAATATTTTCCTCTATGTTTCGTATTTTCTATGAGTGTTTTTTTTTGCTTTGGAACCTGCAGTTAATTGAAGCATTAGTAGGTACTTGCATCTTTGATCATAACATAGTTATTGCAATAAGACGGAGAAAAGAACGACATGCGCGGAGCCTATTGAACTTCTATTATAATATTATTAATTGTCGAAAGGAAATTTGATAATTTTAATCACTTTGATTGCTACACTGCCAGAAATGTCTTACCGAGTGGCATTTTTCAATTTTTTTTATTCAATATTTATTTAACACGTTTACTACCATGCTGCCGCTGGCGGTCACACTTTATGTATCATGGTAACACCAAGTATATTTTTCAGAGTTATTACAAATTTGTGTATACTGTTAGGAATATTTGAAAAAATGTTTATTACATCAAAACAATTTTTATGAATCCCCGCTACAGCCCGTCGCTTTTTTTAGTGCATTATTATAGCGCCATGGAAAAATTGATAATGTTAAACTATAATAATTACAGCCGCCGGCGGGCATATGGCATATAAATAATAACAAGCTATGACCGTCAGTAACCATAAAAATACTGTTGTATCCTAGTACGCCGGCTTTCCGCATGGCAGACAACATGTTAATATTTTTATGGTCAGAAGTCTTAAATTCTTGGATACCTAGGTACTTGATGATAATAATTTAAAAATAGTCACCTAACTTTAGTTAAGACATCAGTGTTAGCAGTGATCCAGAACTCTGGAAACCATTTTTAGGAAACAGTTTTATGTTTAGAAATTAAATAATCACCAAAACAATTTTTAGTAAGCTTTATACAGTCAGTGGCTTGCTGTTCTGTAGGTGCACACACCATATTTATGTAATTAATACACCTGGAGGGTCATGTTACCTGCTCAAGTGCAGTAATATCCGGAGTATAGTTGACCGTTCATCCACGGCCGACATTCAACGGATGGAATTGCACGGGCACCAAGCAATACAGCGCAGTTACACCAGAGAGAAAGAGGTAACGTTGTCACGAAGCCGATGTCGACGTCGAAGCCGACAC